AAAATGTATATAGAATAGCCCAGCGTGGATTCAATGCCTCCTCGCAGTTGCAGTATCGACGATTTTTGGACTTGGTTTCGAAGACGAGGTTTCTATGTAGCAGTTTTCATTAGGCGGAGCATTTTGTGTATTATCACTGCGCACTATACAGTATATATATGCCCGATTCTATTAATACGTCTCTGTTGTTCCCTTTATGCTTGTATTATGCGCTCAGATATCGGTGCAGTGCATGCATGCGTGTTACATGCATACACTGCAAGTGAACTAGGAGTGAATCAAGAGTGATTCAGTTACAATAAGAGGGCCTCGCAAAGCACAGCCTGTGATCTTAGGTTAGGTGAACGCAGCCGTTAACTTACTGATTATGATGATGTTGATGAAGTCGGCGGCTAAATTTGAGGAACTCTTTTTTTTTTATTTAGAAATAAGCCAATTCCTAAACTGAAACTAGCTAAAAAGTAAGGCTGCCTTGGTAAATGAATTCTCTGAACTTTCTTTGAATAATAATAATAATAATAATAATAATAATAATAATAATAATAATAACTGTTTGTAACTTCATATTGCTAATAATACTTGTTGGCGTTTAAATTCCCAAAACGATTGACGTACCAATTGTGAGAGATGCCGTAGGGGAGTGCTCCGGAAATTTCGAGCACCAGGGGTTCTTTGACGGGCAGCCATATCTAAGCACGCGGGCCTCAAGCATTTTCCATCCCGATTCCATCCCGCGACCTTCGAGTCAATTTATTATTACTGTATCCGATGAAAGTTGAGGGTACGTATGTGTGAAGACAAGCTTGTTCGAGGTGCTTTCGGTTCTGCATCCTGCCTATATATACTTCTTATTTGTTTACCGGTTTGTTGACTGCCATTACGTTGCATGGACCTAAATGAGCCAACTATGAAATACATGGCAAAAGAAAAAAAAGCCACTTCTTTCTACTGCGCCTTCGTTGTTGCACCTTCGTTTCATTTGTCGTCATACTCTTTTTCTGCGGACTTCAGGAACCTTGCCCCCCCCCCTCCTCCCTATAATGCTTACAAGAACTGCAGCAAACTATATGAATTGCCGTTCCTTGTTCTTATCTTTTCAGTTTTTTGTTTTTTTGCGAGCCCTCGCCGAAGGAGTGATGGCGACGCGGTGGTCCAGCACCCGTCCGTGTCGCGTTGCGCCGTCCTCTCAAATCCTGCCGGGCCCACACCGATCTTATCGATACTCCGGCGTTTTTCTTTTCTTTTTTCGTTTTATAAATGTTTCTTTCGTCTGTCTCGCCTTCCCCGGTGGATTCATGATGTATGACGTGCTACCCGAAACGCCGTGGAGCCGCACTCCTTCGCTCCCCACTGCGTATCGCGCCCGAAGCACGTTCCCGAATCGCGTAATGGATGTCTCTTGCGCGTGTATCAGTCTGCAGAAAAACAAAATAGGTAGGGGGGAGGGGGACCCCTGTTCTGCCAGTTTCGTGTCTCCTAGCGACGGACATATCGCATATGCGCACCGAGATGCAACAGGGATCACCAGCGAGTCCCGTCGCTTTCTCAAAAACCTGTTCAGTCCTGCCACCGTGACACGTACGCGGTAACTCATCGAAAGAGCGGACCCTGCATTGGCCGTCCCGTGCCAGGAATAGAAAGGAAAGTAAGCCGAATATTCTGGTCTCGAAGAAGAAGGGTGTCTACTTGTTCTTAAACGATCGTTCATTCTCGTCTTGTATGCTTCTGGTCTTTTCGCGAAGTCGTAAAAAAATAAATCAAAAGGAAGGAGTTTTGCAGGTGACTTCACTGTATCTGGTGGGCTTAGTCATGACCTGTGTTTTATCGGGAATACACGCGAGGAGTCTGTCCAATCTGGTGTTTCTTTTTCTTTTTTTTCCTGACGAGTTAAATACTGATTTGCTTTGGCGTCGGGCGCATGATTTGATCGTACGTATTTTTTTCTTATTAGGAAGCCTTAGTTACAGGCTTGAACTGTAGGACGGTGCCGGGCACCCCTTTAGCATTCAGAGAGAATAAGCAACGTAAATCTGGATTGCGTCGCCAGACCGGGCGCTGTGTTCTGTTTTATACTGCAAGACTTCGTTCCTTCTCTTCTAAGAAGTTCGGCGTTAACAAGTCACCCGCGTTTCTCAGCGAAACGGAATGTGGGCACTCGATTTGTCAGCTACCTACCTGCCTTCTCGACAACATTTTAGTTGAAACGATAGCTGGGGGACCTGGAGTAACTAATAATTTACGGTGATATACGTCGCAGAAACGCTGTGACGGGGACTCTCGAGCCCCGCTTCGTCTGGATTAGGCGCACAACAGAATAGTTCTTGAGCTACCACGACGCTTTAAAAGTCGAGCTGGTGACTGTAAGTAAAACAATGGCTCTGATGGTTTCGTGGCGACTCATTGCGCAGAATGTAAATGCATGCCGGTATTTCATAAAACAACTGTGTTGGCTATACTCACCCTAACTCACACATGTAAATCATCTGATCACCGCATTAGCGCGAATAGTTGGTTGTTTTTTTAGAACAATGCACTTAATCCCATTGAGGTTAAAAATAAGTATGTACTATGCACTCTTCCATTCTAAAGTAAGTTCTGGGATGTTAGTCTGGGGAACGACATCACAAGGGAATTACCATAAGTTAATAACTATACAAAAGAAAATATTGCGCTGCTTTGAAAAACACAAGGGGGAATCTACAAGACTTGCACACTGCTGCACTATTCATTAAACATTCCATACTCAGAATTGATCAATTATATCATTTTAAATTACTTCAGTTAATACAAAAGACTAAGCTATATGAAGAAAGTTGCACCGGAAGACCACACTACAGTCTGCGAGAACAAAAGAAACGAGCTCCTAGAACAAGAACCCAATATGGAAAACAAAGTATCGCTTACCAGGTACCTCAGGTTTTAAATACCCTTGCAGATCAATTGAACTTTAGGGCTAGTAGTGCGACTTTCAAGAAAGAAATAAAGAACTTATTCATAACCACCGGTCTACACTATCGAAACTACGTAATGGAGTCTCATTCCTCTGCAAATGCTTAAATTGTTCATAAACTTCTATGTCAATTATACGAGTGTATACAGCGGAATTCATTGTATCCGCATGCATTTTGTGTATGTTTTTGAGTTGTTTCATTGATATTGCTTAGTTGTGAATTTTAACGAGAGTGACCTCTAATTCTTAAAATGTGTTATGTAAACTTCTTATGCTATTTATGTTTGAATTTTGTGTTTACAATTTCAGGTTACTTGAAACCAATTTATTGAATATATATATTGTTTGTCAGTGCTGATGTCTAAGCTTTGCACTGTCACGGACTGCGGAGGGACAAGGGCCTTTGTCAGGCTGTTCGCCTTTAGCCCTTTGCCCCTGCAGTGAGCTCTGTATCCGGCTTACTGTAAATAAATATACTACTACTACTACGACTACTACTACTACTAACGATAGTGTAAGGCTCATCAGAGTCATCAAGCGCGCAAACACACACACACACACACACACACACACACACACACACACACACACACACACAAGAACTAGATTTCTTGATTTTACCGGCACGTAGTTTCTCTATGTAACATTTGCTGCTTAGTTTCATGTTGTCTTCATCTTTGGGCATTGATAGAGATGGTCGTGAGGTCATGTGACGGGTATATATTCTTGGTGCTTTGCATTATCAAATTTTAGCTGGAAGTTAGCGCTTGGCCTCGTTGTCCTTTTTCGTCCGTTGTATACGTACCTTTCGCGTTTCAGCTTCAAAAAGTATGTTAAGTCACAGCTCGTCGCAAGACAAAGGCACAGTGAAGCTCGTAGCCTTTCTACATATAGTACTCAAGTCAGGTGGTTACTTTCGACTTTGTTCCAATGCCTCGACTGCGATTCTGTCGCTTTCACTTCTCGCGCACCAATTGTGATCAAGAAACTCAATCGCGATCGAAATTACACTTCTGTGGCACACGCACGTAGCGCCCCTGTGGCCGTCTCGGCAGTGTGTGCAGCGATCACGACAGTACTCGCCATTGAAGCAGTGCCGCGAACTCTGTTGGGTCCACAAAAGCTGGACTTGTTGGCGGTACTGTGGACGTAATTGAAAACGCTCGCACTTTTACGCCGACACAGAATAAGCGCGGCAGGAGATTAATCTGGAAGGTGTATTGTTCGTAACTTGCATTTGCCAACTGGCCATCAGCTTTCTGTGAGGCTGTTTTACTGTAGTGTGGCTGGTGTTGCGACATGATGCTTGCGAAGCTCCGGATTACCACAAGGTAGCGGCTAGATCTCTTAATTAAAAGCAAACTTTATTTCGACCCGTCGTCATATCTCATTAGTGTTCTTGCCGATGTAAAGAATAGAACAACTCTAAGGGGCCGCGTGTAGACGAGAACGCTGCTGAAGACACGTACACCTGTCTACTACAGCAATAGGTTTTCGTTTTCTCCGCCTGATTTCGTCGCCACAAGGGGACGCCACCAACCTTGCAACTCACGTTTGCGCCTACGGTAATCCGCAAACGCTGGGAAGTCTGCGGAAAAGCTATTTTAACATTGACAGGTTTCCCCCGTTTTAACGAACAGCTAACACGCTACATTTATTGATCGTGAATATTGGAGAATAAAAAGAATACTACTGGGGATGATTCGGTAAAGTGACCACGACGGCACTGCACGAGCCGTGCTAACGTCGACAAGGGAACATCGTTGTGGGTGGTGAAACAAAAGGTAGTAAATGTCTCGTTGTACGAACGTCATTGCAGCGTCCTCGGCGCATGTATTTGCTGCGATATCGCCCGCGTGCATATGTGGTCCTCCGGAAAGACTATATTTGGTGTGTGGATTTTGTGTTGTTCTGTGGCATCTGTGTGCGTTAAAGCACGTACAAAGACGAAGGTATTGTCTGCTGTTTATTGGCAAACTGTTATAAATGTCTGCCTTAAAAGCGTCAGTTCTGTTTCTAACGTGTGCAATTATTATTTTCTTTTTTCCAGACGTATTTTTTCACGGATGCGTCTGACCCGCTGTACCAGCTCAAAACAAGTGAGTAGTGCCTGTTTGTTTGCTGAGTCGTTTTTGCGATCACTTAACAAGACGTTTATTATGTGGATAGTAACGTGTTTTGCTGTTATGCTATGACTGTCTCGAATCAAAACAAAAAAGACAAAAATTTGAGACCAGCGCGTAAATACCAAAATAAATAAAAGTGCATTTCTAATTGCTGCGGAAGAGGAACACTGGAATAATACATGGTACCACACATTTATTCTACGATCTTAAAGGAGAAAGAGAGATGTAGACTTAATTATTTCCGGCAGATTACGATCTTAAAGGAAGCCTACAATATATATTTAGTTTGGTCAAAAATCGTGCTGATATGCATTCAAGGCTTCTGAGAATATTCGAGTCACTTATAGTGGTGTACGCAGCCGGGTATACGCATTATTTTTGAAAAACAGCATGTAATTGCTGCAGCTCGCTGTTAAGAATCAATGCCATGAAAGAAAACGATTGCCCTGCCAACCCAAAGCCTTCAGCGATTGGCTGATTGGAACATCGCGAGGTGCATGGTTACCGCAGCCGCCGCGGTTTGCCGCCACTTGTCCTCGCGCTCACGATCATATTGGAAGTAAGCAGCGCTAGGAAAAAAAAAAAGAGTCATTGCTCCGTCTGCTCTCTTTGCGTAGGAAAATTTGAGCGTGCTCACTGGTTCGGAAGGAGACAGGGAGGAATGTCTTTCAGAAAAAAATCCTCAGCCAACTGCATCATAGATATAAAGCGCTATAAAAAAGTGGAGGGGGAACGCGATTTAGCTTGCTACTTTATGTCTCGTCTTGACTACAGTCCTATGTGTATGTGTGACACACTTCGGGTGAGGCCCCACCGATCTAATAGCGGCGTGCGGCAGACTCGCAGGTAGTGCCAATTTACGTTTAGGCGTGCGACGCCTGAAAGGCCTTCCAGTGGCGCATTTCAAATGTACTTGCAGGTCGGTCGACTCCTGCGGGGTTACGCATGTAGTGATGTTGAGTCAGAGTGATATACTCATTAAGCAGGCTCGGACATATGATTAAACACGATTAAACACAGGCAAGCGCTTAAATAAAATCAAGGGAAAATGCAAGACCTACAGAAATTAACTAAAATAAAAAACAACACAAATATGTGCGATGAAAAAAACAGCTACAAAAGCATATTACGCTCTAAAATAACTTACAAATAGAAACATACACAACGCGAAATGTTAATCAAGTAAGTGTACATGGTGGAAACAAAACAATAACGCCCAAAAAACATTACAAAAAAAGATCCTGCTCTCGTGTCTGTGCTTCTCGTGCGACGCCCCCACACAAAAACAATAGTTAAAAGCTGGGGTTAATAAAATTACGGTTGAAAAAAATCACAATATTTCAAAAGTATCATACGGATCAGGCGAGCTCGTATATATATGGGAGTTGACGGGCTGCCGCTGAAGGTCTCACCAGCTCAGTAGACGGTGAGGGTGCCCTGGTGTTGCAGCCATCTCAGTACGTTGCGCGGGGCACACCGTACTCGCCGCCTACGCGAGACTCGCGGCCTTCTTCCCTTGGTCAACGTGGATTCCGAAGCAGTCAAACTTTTTCGGGGCGTACGGGTTCCCCCCCCCCCCCGTCTTCTCTGGATGTCATTTTTTCCTCGGACACATGCTTTACCCTTTCGGTGCAGGTGGTAGATGGCGGTAGTGCTTAGAAGAAGAAGGCTGGTAGGGAGTAAGGAGGAGTGCCTGTACATGTGCAGGGAAGACACACCGGCGCCGTTCTGAAGTGCATAGTCTGTTGCTGGAAGTTTCCCAACACAAAGGCGCCCTTCCTTCAACGATGGTGTGTGCAGTCGAGAATACCAGACGTTTGTGACAATATATGTTTTTTTTCTTTTACTTCACTCGAGATTCTTTTCTAAATGTTAGCTCGGGAAATTGTTTCTTTTTTTTCTTTTTTGTTGATGTTCATTTAAGAGGTGCGTTTTCGTATCATAATGCGTCGCTCTAAAAGTCGCAAAGAGCTGGGACAAGAAACTAAGGAGACAATCTTTGTCTTTTTTTTTTTACTACACTCGAGGTTTTTCTTTTTTTCTCGATGTTAGTTCGGGAAATGGTAATATTTTTTTTGTTAATGTTCACTTAATATGTACATTTTCATATCATATGGCGTCGCTCTGAAGGTCATAAAAAGGATGGACAAGAAACTAAGGGAAGATTTCACTTCAAAAGAAGATCGCTTTATTAAAAATAATCGGGCATATTTAGACCCACCAAATCGCATAGTAATCACATGTCTGGGGGACGGAAAGGGCGAGTTCGCACGAATGTATTCGGCTCGTTAAAGTGACGCGCACCTTACAGAACGCTTAGCAACAGGCCTCCGATGATCAGGCTCGTGAGAGACGTTCTCAAGGAGCTCCTTCGAGTCCTGAGGAATTCTATAAATTAGCGCCGCCGAGTTTTCCCTCGTGGGAATGTCGCGTTGGCGTGGGAACGGCAGACTCGGTTCCCACACATTGCGCGGACGTGTGACGTCCATACGATGACATGTGGTAACTGTTTCTCTTGTCCTGTCCTGTTTCAGATGGCCACCTCATCAACACCAATTGCTCATCGTCGCACAATAGGTACGTGCTTTGGCGTCGGGCCATTTTATTTTACTTCATTTTTTTTTAATCTTTATTGAGCGTCTGTAATGATATGGGCGTTCAGATGGGCTTCTGCTATGTGCAATACAATGAGTAACACTTCTGGTGAGCAGAGAATTGTAAAAAATCACTCAGTCTTTTTGTGCTTAGAACATCCATCATTGTGTGTTGTTGTGACATTGTGTTAGGGCGTGTTACACAGTTAGGGCAGGATCGAGTCTTATGTGGGCAAGAAACGCAAATAAGTCGTCAGACAAGAACGTCAATTTTCTTTTTCCACAACTTATTCTCCTCCCAAGCATAGACGTGTGCAAGGATTCCCTGTCGGGGGTGGGGGTGGGATAGTGAATATTTGTTGCAGTGCCATCCCTTCCTATTACTCCAATGTATGGTGCTGAGTTTCGCCCCGCTCCTTGGGAGACTAGGGGAGCGTCTGCTCCCCCCGCCCCCAACCCCAGCCCTTTGAGCATGCCTATGCTTCCAAGTAAAACCAGCGATGTCTGCCAAGAGGCTACAAAAAAGCGCCATGAAAAAAAATTGATTGACGTAACTACTCATTCATTGTATCAAGTATCGTCATCACACAAGGTGACCAGGATCTCTGAAGCGTTTTTGATATATTGATTGGTTTAGGCTTGTGTAGTTCAGCTCGCTGTTGATATAATGGCAAATGATCTTCCGCGAACCTTTTACAGGGTAAATTACTCCTGCTCTGTCCATCTAGTGGACATGTCCACTTTGGCGGAGTGCATTTAGTTACTCGAAATAGTGGCAAATCCGTGCACTATACCCACCATTGCCACACTGGCCGAAGCGATATGCGTTGCGCCTCCCATCGGCACTATCGCCACAGTTGAGATACAGTGCTGTTTGCGATCGTTGCGGCAGCGATGAAACGATGGAGCACGTTCTCTGTCACTGCCATCGTTACAGCGTGCAAAGACGGCAGTTAGCTGCTGCGTTAGCTAGCCTTGCCGACAGACTCTAGTCAGAACAGTCAGTGCTTGAATGCCAACATGATCTAGCGTAGAGATACACGTGTAACGTAGCGTTAGCGTATAGATACATGTTTTTTTTTTCTTTGCTGTTACAAATCATTTGAAGTTTTTATACCCTTCCTGCCTGGACCAAAATGCTGGTCCGCAGTATGTCTAAATAAATAAATAAATAGATAAATAAATAGATAAATAAATAAATAAATCTGTCTTCGCACAGAAAATCAGCGAAGGCCTTATTGAACTTTTTGCATGGTAGTGGCCTATCGAATAGACTATAGCACCCGGCTCACTGTTTCTTTTTCTTTTTCGCTCATCGCTTTTCTTCTCATCTGTCTTCCCCTTTTCCTTATTACGGGGTAGCAAACCGGTGGCTCAAATTTCTGGTTAACCTCCCTGCCTTTCCTCTAACTTTATTCTCTCTCTTTATCTCTCTCTCTCTCTCTCTCTCTATGGGTAACAGCGTAGCACCGTTGTTTTCGTGCGCGCACTGCTGTTAACGGTGACGTCACGTCTTCTTGACTATCACACGGCCTTCCGCTTTACACGCGGGGCGCCCGGAGGCGATACCTTCCGATTAACTCGCTTTCATTGAGTGCTTTCCGAGGTAGTGCGTGCGAGACCTGTGTCGTTTTGTGTTGCTGGGTTCTGCTTTCCGAGGCAGGTATAGTGCTTGCAGAGCGTGTGGGCGTGTTCTTCGGTGAATCGGAGTTTGTGCCTCGTTTGTGTCTCGCTCCAAGCTCCGAAAAGACAGAAAGGAGACGGTGTAAAAGGAGGGTGGTGTCCTAGGTTGCAGTGAAGTGGGGCAGGGGGGGTCCAGGGAGGTATACAACGAGCCGCAACCTGCGCCCATTGAGTTCGGCGCTCGGCGACACAAACCGGATGTCTTTGCGAGCCGCGATGGCAGCGCAAGATTGGATTCCCGCTGTGCACGCACAACAGAGCCTGTGCGAAAAGAATGGCAGCAAGGGAGCGAACGCAGCGAAAGCATACAGGAACCTCGTTTTTCACCGAATCTTTTTTTTTTCTTTGTTGCTATCTTCTTCGATGCACTTAAAGGAAGCCATCCCAAGTTACGGCCTTGTCTTTCTCGAGTCGGGAGTCAGTCGACTGGCCGCTGTAAACGCTTTTGCGAGCTTTTGTAGACCCTCGCTAGTCTATGCGGCTGTTGCGAGCCGTTGCGCACCTTGTTTTCGTCCTCCCCGAAAATAGACCTTCGCTTTCGAATGGGGCTTTGGTCGAATTTACGAGTAAAATGAGCCGGGCTCGCTAATAAAGGAGAACTGACCGCAGCTCCGCGCATGCGCTGAAGGTCTCAAAAATAAAGAGAGATACCGCGGGCTGCGTAAGTCTGGGCGGAGCCCCTCTTTGTGTTGCCAACAGTCAACTCGTGCAGCGGCTGGCCTTTCGAGCTCGCAGCCGTAAAGAAAAAAATCGGAATGGTTTCTCTTAAAAGTTGTCAGGGTTAGAATATGTACACTGTTGAAAACCCGCCTAACGAAACTCCATTTTGTAAATTCCTGGATCAAACTAAGATCTTCCCCATTCTGTGGCGGCGTTGTTACTGGCGTACTTTTTTTTTTTTTTGCATGGTCGCCGCTTATATTCCTAGGTTTTTCAGTTCTCACCCTTCCTGTGTTAAACGTCATTGCCCGCATAACATGGCTTTTCTGTTACAAATGTATGCGTTCTTGTGTAAGTACAAACGCTTGGGGGAAACGCTGCTATCTCTTGCTCCGTATTTTAAATTGACCAGTACCATGAGAAAAGCGCCTTTTTTTTTTTACCGTCGAAGAAGCAGGAAAGAATTTTCCGTTTGCCGGCATCACAGGTAAACCGATACGTTTTTTTTTTCTTTCAATCCAGTTCTTATGCATAGGATTCTACTCACTGGGGGATATCACAGCAACGTTTTAGCTTTTGCATATTAGCGAAGTTCCTGATCCGCCTAAAGTACTCGCTCCTGCATGCGTATATATATGCCACACATATGCAGTATTTAATTAAGCTACCAAATGGCGTGCTTATCATATCTTTGATTCCGAAGTGCCGCTTTATCATAGCTAAACTGAACCCAATATCAAATTCTTTTTCTCCCTCTTTTGCTCGCAGGAAAGCGCTATGCTGCAAGATGTCCGTAGAGCTTGACTTTTTCCTCGACAGCAATAAGAAGTGAGTACATATATGGTGTATATTGTGTGCATCTACTTGCGCTACCTTATCCATTGCGCATGCCTCGCCAAGCGTCAAGGAATGCTTGTGCGCCGCTTTCATGTGCTTACGTGTGTGCGTGTGTCTGTGCGTGTCAGCATTCCTTCGTCGCACTTGCTGACCTGAGGAGATTTTAGGAAAAAGGACCGCTCTGCCGTCGTATAGACGTGAAAAATGCGTGGGGTGCTCTAGTGGCTCACGTAAGATCTGAGATCACCATCGTCGATCCGTCTGCGTCGTCATCAGCTTCAGATGATGACTGTGGCTTTGCGTTAAGCATAAAGCCCCACCACAGGCTCACCACTATGGGTGCTTCATGCCACCAGTATGATGGTACACAACAGCCTTCGCAGCGTGGCTACGCCCTATAGACGAATGGTCAGATGTGGTTCAGTCTGCGATATACATGCGCCGTATTGATCTCCTTTGGTCTATATGCAAATATATCGTAGTAACGAGATTAGCATATAAGCTTCGTGTACATGCCAATATTGGAACACCTAGCTGCGCTCTCTACACATTACGTGTTGTTAAATGCAACTGTCCAGGTACCAGATGTGTGGGTGTGAGTGTGGTGCTCGCCATCATTGGAGCGACATCATTGGAGCGTCCGCTCTCAGCGCATACTTTGCGTTTCGATAGTGCGGATATCGAATACGACTGTGGTATCCCGACTCTGTCTCTGCATGGATTCATGCACTCGGTTGCTCCATCCCGGGCTTTTTGTGCAGCTTGGCGTATCTTACTGATGATTGAAAGAAGCCTAAAAGTTGTGCGTAGACTAGGCTGGTTGATGTTTATTTGTTGGACCGCAGTCATGTTGCCTCATGCTCATTTCCTACTGCTCCGCATATATTGCGCTAGGAAGCGTACTCAGCTTCTTTCTCTTTCTGATTTTCATTTTGCTGATGCTAAATTGGGCGAGTAATTTATGGTCTTCTGTCGGAGAAACTACCGATACCTCGTTCTTCATTATTTGGGTAATAACGAAAAAAAATAAATAAAACGAGCGTGCGCTTCGTTGTCGTTTGAACACAGGTGCGCCAATGACAGGCCATTATTTTATTTAATGTTCTCGAAAAAAGCCAATGTATTTTCTTTCTTTCTGGCGCTCAGGTGGATAGGCCGCGCCCTTTTTTCTGTGCGACGCCGGTTGTATAACGCTTGCACATAAATACCGATAGCTGGCACGTCGTCTCTTGGAGAGAGAGCTGGTTGCTCAATTAAAATCTGTCCAGCAACAAACCGCGCATCTGCTCGTTCGCTCGTTAAGATTGGAAACCTTAAAGGAACGCAGCGAAGCCAAAATTGCACAGTCTACGGGAGATTAATGCAAAATGACAACGCGCAGCGCCACAGGAGGCGGCACAGAGTTCGAGACTTAGTCTAGCGAAACCCCGCGCTCGAAGCGTCGTGCCTCGTTTATCACTTGGTCTGCAAGAAGCGAGCGTCTGGCTTTAACCTTCTTGTTTAACGCAGAGCCGGAGTAGCTTTAAGCCGAAGAGAGATAGATTAGCGAGAAGCAGAAGGGGGGGGGGGGGGGGACAACAGATGGGCAGATGCCACTCGATGACTTGTTATGTATATCCAGAGGCTATATAGGGTCTGAGAGGGCCGCTCCCATGAAGTCGTCGCCCGTGCGCTTAATTAATTGGCGGCGTGCTGACTCATATCCGTCCCGCATCGTTAGTTTAACAAACTGGCGCGGCCTTTTTCTTTTAAATGCGAAGCATTCTTTAGCGAACTTCGGTGACATTGAGCGTATCTATCTATCTGGCCGCCTGCGACTTTTAGCTGTCCTGGCCGTTTCGATAACTGTATCGATACCAAACTTGGTATGGTACAGCATGACTGTATGAAGAACATATCTGACCAGTCATAACATGAAAATCACGATATGTATGTCATGATTTACATTTCATGGTCCTGCAGGTCTTGCGCTGGTTTCGTTCACATGGCATGTTGCAAAACTGGTATGGTATGACATGATTGCATGGCGAACACAAGCGACATACCCTAACATGAAAATCTGGTCATGCGTGTCATGTAACATGACTACATGCCACGCTCATGATGCGCTCGCGGCCACTAGCGTCACATATACCAAATTTGGTACCATGGTACGTGAGTGTATAACGAAGGTATGTGACTAGTGCAAACATGATAATCATGATATGCGTGCCATGTAAAACATGACTACATGCCACGCTCATGGTGCGCTGGCGGCCGTTTCGCTAGCTTTATTTATTCCAAATTTGGTATTACGGGACGTGAATAGATGACGAAGGTATGATACTGCTGCAAACATGATAAACATGAGATGCGTGCCTTGTAACAACATGACTACATGCTACGCTCATGATGCGCTCGTGGCCGTTTCGCTAGCTTCACATGTACCAAAATCTGTATTACGCGATACCAACGGACGACATAGGTAAATGACACATTCAAACATGATAATCACGACATGCGTGTCATGTAACAGCATGACTACATGCCACATTCATGATTCGCTCGCGACCGTTTCGTTAGCTTCACATATGCCAAGTTTGGTATTTCGAGACGTCAATGGAATACGAAGGTATGTGACTGGTGCAAACATGATAATCATGCGATGCGTGTCATGTGAGAACATGACTATATGCCACAGTCAAGACGCCAATACATTTTGACGTGACGCGGTGCGCGTACTCGCCGGCGTTCATTTCGTCGCGTCCAGCCGGCGTTCTTATGTGGTTCTTAAAGGGAGTAGAAGAGCAAAGTGAGCCCCGTAAGTGTCTGCATCAGGTGCGACACCCCAACAGTATACGTAGCTCACAACGGATGGGGGTAAAAAGGGATTAAAATGATAGGATTAAGAGGTTTATATAGAGAGGAAGGAGAGAGCGAGGCGCAGGGACAGCGAGCGACGGAAGTAAAGAGAAGATAGGAAAGATGGAGAAGGTCACAGGAGTCCGAGGACGGGGCACCAATCGACGAGAGCTCTTGACGGCGTTAGGAGATGGCGTGGCGTAGGGGTAATCGTTGCCACGCCAGGTGCTCGTCCTGCCATATACTCGTAGGCGCGCGCCGCCCTGCGTTGCTTTGACGCATGCGCGTTTCAGCGCGTCCGGCGTCTCTCCGTCACGAAAAGAGGTAGACGCAGTGTTGTCTGGGTAACGCATCGGCGCGAAATGTAGCCTGTCGCACTTCGTGCCTGTTGCGCTCGGGCCGCGCCGAAGGACGGTGGTCGTGCCGGTAGCGCCCGGCGTCAGACCTAGAGTGCTCGCGTTTTGCTAACGTAGCGTCGCTGTGCCCAGTGTGCGCGCACGTCAATGCTACTTTGGACTATATTGGGCCCTTCACGATGCACTTGCGCCCGTTTCGCTAACTCCACATATACCAACTTTATGTTACGGGACGTCAATGGATGACGAAAGTATATGACACGAGCAAACGTGATAACCCTGACACGCGTGTCATCTAAGAACATGACAACGTACCACGCTCATAGCGCGCTCGCGGCTGTTTCGCTGGCTGCACATATACTAAATTTGGTATTACGTGACGTGAATAGATGGCGAAGTTAAACGACACATCCAAACATAATAATCATAACACGGAGGTCATGTATACGGCATCATTTACCTCCACCTCGTAACGTTCTGCTGACTTTAAAGTGACATATAACCTTTCTCATTCCTGCTTCGCATATCATCGATTTCCACTGTGCGTGGGATCTGCAAATTTGCCCCCCCCCCCTTTTTTTTTTTTTTTTTTTCGTTGAGCTCGGGGCTGGTCGACATGTGGGATCTTGGACGTCATAAATGCTTCGACTGAGTGATAAGTGAGAAAAATGATGACGCTGTCGATCGATGATTTTTCGGTTTGCGTGACGTGTGTGCCCTATCTCTTGGTGCGTGGAAGACGATGAGCGTTCGCCAGCTTGAGTAAAGCTTTTTTTTTTTTTTGCGCTCTGAAAAAGTGGCGGCCCTTTAAGGGAGTTCGTTAGAGAACGTGATGTTACCGGTGGGAAAGCTGCATTTTGTTATGTTTTCCGGGAGTATTCCGCGTGAGCGAATATTAGGACCTCCAGCACTGACCTGCAGAGCTGGTACCACTTCGTATTTTGGTCATGCGAAAGGTCCCTCTGCGGTTGTATATGCTCTTTCTTTCTGATACGTTACAGCAGTGGCTGCTGTTTACGCAAACATATTTTATGAATGTAGGAGAAATAGTGTTATACACGTATAAATCTTCCCTTGCAGTCATGGTTTTCTCTTTGGCTGTTTTCGAACATTACCTGTTGAACATTATGTGCTCACAAATATTTCTATGTGAGTTCCCGAAGAGAAATTTCTCAGTAAAAAAACTTTATTGAGAAGTCTTGAGGTGTGTAAGCCACCAGGCCGTCCATGAGAAACATCCTAGCAGCCGCTACCTATATAAGTGAGCACAGAGCCTGCGTGGAAATGGGGTGGCGTTCTGCCAGTTCGTGGAGCCTCTGGAACTCTGAGATCGGAGCTCCTGAGTGCCTCTACCCTGTCTGACTCAATGATGAGAGGTCCCTAAGGTAACGTGGGACATTGCCAGAGCACGTGAAAGGGAGAATCTTGGCAATACGGAGGTATACCCGCGTTGTTATGGCTGAGTCGGCCTCGGAATGGGTATGATTTCGCTTGCATAGCATGCGATCTCTTGCGCGCGTTCGAGTTTTGTGTGTGGTAAGGGATGGTGGCTTCTGTATTTACTGCAGATATAATTTCGTGGAAGGTGAGTAATGGGTTGTTAAACTGACTGTCTGGACCCACCTTGTCGGTGGCTTATGGATCGTTTCTTTTAATGAATTACTGTGCGAACTTGTTCGCAGGTGGATGTGCCATTTCGACGACGACAACTACGTGAACGTACCGCGGCTGGTGAAGCTGCTGCAGGAGTACGATCCCCGCGAGGACTGGTACCTGGGCAAGCCGTCCATTCGGCAGCCGCTCGAGATACTCGCCAGGGACAGCACCAAACCGCAGGTAAATATATGCCACTGTTACTCCTCTGCATTCGCTCTCCCACACTTGTGGGCACGCCCCTGTTGATCGTTACGACCGTGTTTTAGATACGAAGCAGTCCTTTGACTAGCCTGTGTAACGCTGTCCCTCCATACGAGCGCGCCACAGGTGTTGGCGCTGTGCCAAGTAGGTCACGCTGCTGCTGCACGTTGACGTGACGCTCCCCTCCCTGTGTGCGCTGACGTCACTCTTTCCATCACCTGTCGCGCGCTCATCGCGGCGCCCGCAGCTGCCCTGTCGTCCGTTCGTACGCGACACCGCCCACTCGTCAGTTCACACGGATTAAACTTGACGCGCGCCTAATGTACGCGTTCAAACATGTCTGTACCCTTCACATACAAGACCTACGCCAGTCATCACTTCATACGAATCATTCAGCGCTCACCGCAGCACCCGCCTTAGCGCCGTTCAACCCGTGACGCCACCAGGACGCCACGCTGCATATTCGCATCCCACCAAGGTTCCCTTCGGGGCGATAGTCCAAGTTTTTCAAACACAGTGATCTGACCAGAAGAGAACTCGGAGAAATTTTCTACAATGAAAAAAAAAAAGTCATCGCTTTACCGCAAAGACGAAACAACGAACGTTACAGCAACACATTGAAAGGTCACGCGCAGAATGGCAAGCAGATTGAAACGTGCCGCGCATTTCTCACGCACGCACAAATGAGGCATGAAAAGTACTCACAGGTACAGATGAACGCGAATAAGCGTCTTAGTTGTTACTTCGTTGTATTTGAAAAGGGCGCTCTTTTCGCAAACAGAGGCTGTGCAACGATTGCAGTAACTTTGGTGTGCCCCTTAACTGCAACAGAATCGTTCCAGTGTAAGCCCAACGCCAGCCAGGGCGTATGATCTTCCCCACCGGGAGATAAGGGTGCGCGAGATATCGTCCACTCCCCTCCTCTCTGCGGGCCAAAGTACGCTTGAAATATGAGAGCCACCGCGCCCTCATCGTGCCATTTTGCTAATAATGCTGAAAACACGATAGGGGCCCTGCAACACCTTTTGAGCATGGTCAGAAAATGCTGCCGATCGGTAGTAGAGGCTCCCGACAACACGTGAGCCAAATATTGTAGCGCGGCGCGCGGCCTGGAATTCACGATCAATTATTAAAGTCAGCTGAAAATTGCTTTCTCTTTTCTGAACAAATCACAGAATATAACCAAAAATCAGACGTAGCAAGCCCTTCTATCAGCCGTTGGCTGATTTGAACATGGCGCGCTCTCTCGTTACAGAGATCGCCATGGGGGGCCGCTACATGTCCACATGTACGTGCGCGATCACACTAACAAAGCCGCGCATTCGAAGAAGAACAAAAAACGAAAAAAAAGGTGCTGAAAGTCGCGAAGTGGGCGTGACGTTTTTCTGTGGCCCTGCCATCCCTCCCTGCTTAGCTTCCAGCACTTTCGTGGGGACGAGAGAAGAGAGAATGCAGTTGCAGCATGCGACAAACCTTTGTAACTACACTCGCACTGGATGGATTCTTGAAATTTTTATGGCGTTGAATTCGTGAGGCAATAAGCTCTTCCAGTGAACTCTGCAAGGTTACTTGAAAAAGTGTTTCAGGGCCCCCTTTTAACATCAACAGAACCTTTAAGTTGGCAAGTTGATGGGCTTCCATCTTGAACGAACCAATTGCGCGAAAAAACAAGGACCAACGAAAGAAACGACGTCATTGTCTGTCGTTCCTTTTGTTGTTATTTGTTCTTTCACGCTGTTACTTCGTTCAAGATCTTTTACTATTTTGAGAAGCTGCCAATGCATATGCTGCCGGCTACTTTCGAATTCGGAATCCGCTCAAGGTGGCAGTCTTTTCTCTCAGCTGTCCATTAAACCATCCAATAGTCGATGTTCGTTTGTTCTTGTGCTGATGTTTCCGGGCCTTTCTTTAACGGTGTTGTGTGAATCCTTGATTACCTGCGGTGATGTCTACCAGTTCCAGAGCATAATCAAGTTTTTCACTCCTTTCTCGGTCCCCTCGCAGAGGAAGATCGCCTTCTGGTTCGCCACTGGTGGCGCGGGTTTCTGCATCAGCCGCTCTCTGGCTCTCAAGATGCTACCACTCGCCGGGTGAGTGATTTACTCGCATAATCTTGGCGCGCGCGTGTCGTGGGTTCTTGTGGTGTTCTGACGCAGCTGTTAGTAGAACGCAAAGCCACAGGCAAGCAGCATCACCGGGCCGTTTTATTCAAAGGCGCTGATTCTTTCAGCAAAGCGCAGAAAACAGCCGTTATTCCATTCATAATGTCGCATTGTTACCGCAGCGTAATAAACACTCCGGTCTTTATACTTGTGCATATTTCAATTTTCTAAATAAAAAGACACACTGCCTAACTCTTTCGGATTGATGTTGTGTTTCAAGTATGCGTAATATTTGCTTTTTGAATGAACATGTTCACAAGTACGAACGGAGCCACCAGATCAATATGGGTGGGCTTCGAGCACGGGTTTTAACTTTCGCCGGGAGGCTGAATCGGGAGGCTGACAGACACCAGCTGTCAGCTGGTGTCTGTCAAAATTTTTGCGTTGAAGTATCCCAAGATACACTATTGTCTTCAAAAGACTCCATGATATGCGTAGCCATGGAGTCTGTTCAGCTTTCACATCGGCAGAAGGTACCTTTTTGTTCGAGCCACGAACGGCAACGATATTACTTTAACCATTTAACAAGGATTGTGACCATGTGACTCGAAGCACTCAAACGCACCTTGGTAGGCGGTGGGTTGGAATTCTGGTGGCAGTTTTGAGCATCTGGCGGTAACGTGTCGAGTGCTGCATGCCTCCACGTTGTCACCAGAGCTCGAAACTGCCTAGCCGGGTGGGCACTGGCTTATTAGCTCAATCAGCAACTGCAAACATTTCATTGTTTTTCATGCTTGTCATTACTCAGTGATTCAAGATAAGTAAGGATTATTCGACTGACTCGCCAAATGGGGATGCGTATGAAAAAATTCCAGCATACGCCACGCCTTGCGGAAATCGATGTCGCCGAAAGCGGTCAGTGAGAGGCTATCCATACCGCGTTGTTTGACTTTGAGCCAAGTGTTACGAGATGGATCAATACTACGTGAAAACTTAGTTGCTTGAAAAAATAGGCTATTCGGTCTGGTTGGCTAATTTGCATGGGGTTGCAGCGCAAACACGAAAGTACTGAAGGAAAAACGTAATTTAAGGCGAGGCGAGGAACGGAAAGCAGAGAGGAATGACGCGAGTGCTGATCACGTAATGATTTATTTGGTCAATTGGTGTGGTCAATTGTTACGGCTCGTTAGTCTGCTTATGTGACGTTCACCATATTGTAGCTCTACATATCTACAAACCGAATGTATTTCTCTTGTTTACACCGCATAGGAACTGCGCTATCATAAAGTTTTCACTGCAGCTGTTTCTGGATTGATATAAAACATAAATGTTAACCTTTCTTTGCGTGTATAGAACACCAAGATTATTATTATGACGTAGTACATGACGGGCATGCCATGTCGTTCAACTCGAGACATATTATTCATTTTCCTTGTGCATTCATGCACTCCTGGCGTATCATGAGATTGACATGTAGTCATGTTGTTACATGACACACATGTCATGATTTTCATGTTACGGTCTGCTGCTTGCGTTCGCCATGCAATCATGTCATACCATAACAGTTTTGCAACATGAATAAAAGTTTAAATGCCATCGCATCATCGAAACGGCCAGGAGAGCTAGAAGTCGTAGGTGGATAGATAGATAGATGGGCTGATACGCTCAATGTCGCCGAAATTCGCTAAGAAATGCTTCGCATGTAAAAATGTTCGTTATACGATGTTAGGCTGGCAGCCTACGTGGCGTCTCTTTTTTGTTTGAGCAGCATTGTACGCGAGGCATTGTGCTCCTATCGCATGCGCCCTCCGAACGCTGTAGATGGGCCGGCTTGTTTGATGTGTGCTTCGGCCGCGTTCGTCGCCCCAGCTCACGCGCTTGCCCGCGGGTAAATCATACGACACGTGGGATGTTCTCGATTTGGACTTATTCGGAACAAGAAGGCAATGGCAAGAACCTCTTGATAGTTTCTACTTAGTTGTTATCGCTGTAAAAGTAATGTATTGCACTGGTATAGCAGCCACGCCCGTAACTGCCCGGTCGTTAGCCACGAGCTGTGCTACGGCCATTCAGTGCTCCCAACCTGGGAGCCCTGTCCGGCTCACGACGAAACACTAGGATCTCGACCGCCGAGTTGCCCGAGGTGGTGTGACGTCATCCCACCGGCCAGTGGGTTCGAACTGTGACGAGAACCCGGAGGATGCGCTCGGCACGCATTCTCATCAGAGTTCAGGCACACCGCCTTCTAGGGTGTGACACGGTGCTTCGAGTCACTGGGCCACAAGTTATGTAATTATGGTTTGCTGTTCGTGGCTAAAGCAGAAGTATTCCGGGAAGGTAGCTCGTTGGGTGCGCGGGCCAATCTCCCCTTTCTTCACTGAGCTTAATGTATATGGATTACCTTTCCACATTCGGCGCTTGTCAGGTCAATTTTACGTTGGTGCACAGGGAGTAATAAAGAACAAGTTTTGGTAGCGTAAGCTACTCGGCCGGGGTTGAGCCGTTTCGTTTGACTTATCGAGAGCTGTGCTGCGCATGCCCGAGGAGCAGTGACGTCGCACTGCTGACGTGCCGGAGAAGGCCTGGAAGCCGAGACGTGTCACCAGGGGGTTGGCGCCTTACTCGCGTGAGCTCGCTCGCTAGCCCATTCGTCCGCCCGTAGCTCACGCTACGCATATTTTGACATAGCTGAGCTGAGCCACTGCAGGGTTTAGTGGTCTCTTTTTAATTCTTTTTCTCGTATCGGTTCAGTCGCGCGTTTGTTATGGGGTACTCCAAGGGCTCATACGTACCTGTTTGGTGCGACAATCTTGTCTACTCTCGGTAACCAGTTACGATAATGTGACATCAAAAGGAGGGAGGAATGAAAAGCATGGGTCTCAGCTTGGGTAACATAGCGTGTGCAGACTATAAGGACAATCTGTTCAGATTATGAATGAATGTAGAGTGCGATTGGGAGGGGGGGGGGGAGAAGGGCTTCCTCTTGACGTTTGTTGCTATAGCCAGGCTGCACGCATCACATCGTGCTTTGTCGTACTAAACGTATGGGCTAATCTGACGACCTCGTAAGTGTGTAAGCTCATTTTGTGGCCACATGTCCGTTGACGGCGATACGAGTTACGTGAACAGTTATACTCTCTGTAAATGCGTACAGTGGGGAACGCTTTTTAGTGTACTGGAGAAGGAGCAACGATCATACCACAAAAGCTTATGTGATGGAAATGACACAGAGGGGATGGTGCTATGAGAGAATCACGACCGTGCGTAGGCAGCGGTCAGTGCCCGACGCTGTAGTGAAGGGCTCCGGAAATTTCCTTCCACCAAACGGGGCTGTTTAACGTGCACCTAAATCTATACATACGGGCATTTTCGCCTTTATCGGAAACGCGGCCACCGCTGCCGGGATTCGATCCCGTGACATGCGCGTCAGCAGCCGAGTGCCTTAGCCACTGGACCACCGTGGCGGCTTTACATGCGTTAATTCTATGGTGCACAATGTTTCATAACCGAATGTTCTTCGCTCCTTTCGTTACGACCGCGTTCCGCGTCAGCTGCAAGTTTCGGGCTGTCGACGGGTTTCGCGCATTTGTCTGTTCTTTAGACCATCGTTGTCATTTCGCCATAAGTGCACCTGTATCCATGGAGTTTCCTGGAATTAACTGGAGGAGAGTCTGGCGCTGCGATTGTCCAGCGACCACGGGAATGGTTTGCCTAGTCTTCGCGCTTGCGAGCCTCGAACGCACTTGTGGCTTTGTTTATTGCTTTATTTCGCTTTTCTTTCGAATAAAAGAACGGAACGTTACACGCTTAGTGACTTGATTTGAAATGGTGAGCCTGAAAGGTTAAGGTGGTGAAGCGCAGCTGTCGACGATTGGCTGTTAGTCGTTTTGTGACAAAGCAGCTTCAAGCCACGCGAAGCCAACTGGAGCCAAAAGGACGAAAGTTAGACAAATCTGTGTACTACCCATCGTTCCCATGCTCGCTGAAGCGTCCTGCTTTACAGCTTTCATAGACACTAGCGCTAGAGTTCGGTCTAGTGTACTTATAGAAAACTGTGTGCGTGTATCGAAGGGAAGAGTGTGAAGAGCAAGGCTAAAAGAAAGCTGAAAAGACAGAAAATGAGAGAGGAAGCACCTCCGGCCAAAAAGCCTGCAACCAAACCTCGCGAACAACGGCGGCCATACGGGCGCCTTCGAAACGGGGCCATCGTCCCCCGTCGTGGTTCCATGCAGCTTGTCATGACGAGTCCGGAGGGTGCTGCGAAGAGCAGGTGGTCTGCGGCGGACGTCTGTCACTTTCCTCTCGCGTATGTATATTACGCCCCGGGGCAGCGCACTCCTGCATGTCTGAACAGCGCACAAACAAGGCATGCCGGGTTGCCGATGTATTTCTTCACCCGTGGTCTTGGCTCACTTCTGTGCAGCAGGCAAACGCAGTGCCGTAGCCAGTGGCACACCGGGCCCGTGCACAACACCCCCCACCCCACCCCGCGTTTTCACTTCGGAATTCTCTGTCTCTTTTTTTTTTCTTTTTTCATGACACGCAGAGCATAAAATGACACTCGATCGTATCTGCCTGCGAAGCCCCCACTTCACGTTAACGATGCCCTCCCCCTTTCTCCCCACGAAAAAGAAAAACGAAATTCTGCCTACGTCCCTGAGCACATGGCAACCGATAAAGGTTATCTAAAGAATATCCAAGGCTGCACTTTCTTCCTTCTCTATTTATTTATTTATTTATTTATTTATTTATTTATTTATTTATTTATTTATTTATTCGGTAATCATTCGCTTGCGTGCTGGAATCACCTTCAGGGTCAGATGCATTATAGAGGAAAGTGCTAAATTACAAAAAAATACAATAAAACGTTGTTCTGTAAGTACAATGTTGGCTAAAACTAACATTACTAGCCGTAACTAGACAAGCAACAATCAGACTGTCGATGAAACAACATAATTACATTATTAAACAAGTAACTGTAGAAGTCT